CAGTTTCACTTGCCGAGGAGGAGGACAAGAGGAGAGGGGTGTTAGTTGTGTAATCCAATGCTTGCAAGGTTGAGCAGAGTGGAGGAGACCCTTGCTAGTGATCGATGATGCTGTTTCGTTGCTTTTCCGGGGGGACAACAAAAAACCTGTATCGCTACGTGATTTACGTAGGACTGTTACAAGATGGTACCAGGGGACAACAAAAAACCCTGTATTCCTACGTGATTTATGTAGGCTTAGTACAAGATGGTACCAAAGTACAACTTTTAAAATGCATCATTCAGTAGAATCTGTACTACATTCTACTATGCTCTGCTGCTTTTCTTTGGATTTCACTCGCAAAACTGCTGCAGCTGCAGTATTCATTATTTAAATCTAGCTCACTTTCAAAGGCTTCTTTGCACTTTGACCATGGGAATAGGCTCCTTTGGAGAACTGTAAGTGTCCTCCATGTCAGCATTGTGTGTGTCGTCTTCCTCCGTATCAGCGAGCCTCCGCATCACTGGCTCTTATCAGCGACTCGTATCAGCATTCTCTGTATCAGCATCCACCGTATCAGTGTTGTTTATTGTTTATTGTTTCAGCAACCGAACTACAAGCACTGCCTCCTCCGATTTAGGGGAAAGGGCTCTTATCCCTCCCTGGATCCTCCTCTGATATAGGGGAATGGGCTCTTATCCCTCACTGGATCATCAGCATCCACCATATCAGTGAGCGTCTCTGTATCAGCAAACAATGTATTCGTATCAGCGAGCCTCCTTATTAGCGTCCACCGTATCAGTGTTGTTTGTTGTTTTTCAGCAATCAAACTACAAGCACTGCCTCCTCTGATATAGGGGAACAGCATCCTCTGTATCAGCAACTCGTATCAGCGTCCTCCATATCACCAGCATCCTCCGTCGTATCAGCATCCGCCGTGTCAGGGAGCCTCCGTATCAGCATCCTCCGTATCAGCAGCGGCTTGTGCGAGCCTCCATATCAGCAGCGACTCGTATCAGCGAGCAAGCCTCCATATCAGTGAGCTAACCTCCGTAACTCGTATCAGCAACTCGTATCAGCATCCTCCGTATCAGTGAGTGGGCCTCCGTATCAGCATCCTTCGTATCAGCAAGCAAGCCTCCGTATCAGCAGCGACTCGTATCAGCAAGCGAGCCTCCGTATCAGTGAGCTAACCTCTGTAACTCATATCAGCAACTCGTATCAGCAACTTGTATCAGCATCCTCCGTATCAGTGAGCAGGCCTCTGTATCAGAATCCTTTGTATCAGTGAGCGAGCCTCCTTAGCATCCTCCTCCTATCAGTGAGCCGGCCTCCGTATCAGCATCCCCCATATCAGTAGCACCAACTGGAAGTACATAGTAAGAGATGGTACTGGAGTACCATGTGGTGGTACCGGAGTAATCCAAGTGAGTACCAAAGTACTACCACTTTAATTTTAGTCCGTTGAGCCTATTTAAATACCTCATTTTTTCATTTACTTGTTAGGTGTCTGACACGTGCTCGACCAAGCAAAAATTGGATTACTGAAGTACCATGTGGTGGTACCGGAGTAATCTAAGTGAGTACCAAAGTACCACTTTCATTTTTGTCCGTTGAGCCTATTTAAATACCTCATTTTTTCATTTACTTAGGGTCTCCGACACGTGCTCGACCAAGCAAAAATTGGATTACAGAAGTACGGTAGGGCAGGGCTAATAAATTGGGGTGCACATTGCACATCGCATCAAAAAGTTCAGCAGCTTGTGAGAAAAACTCCACTGTATTCCATTCTTGGTACGTACTACTACGAGTACCAGGGACGTTACAAAATGACTCATAACCAGATACTTTAAGCTACTGGACTTATGGCTCAGCTACTGAGTCACATGCCTCCTGATATATAAGGCGACCTGAGCATAGTGTAACGGATACGTACGTACAATATGAAATACG